TATATATATATATATATATATATATATATATATATATATATATATATATATATATATATATATATATATATATATAAAATTTATATATGTTTATTGAATTCTTTAGCCCTCAAAACAATATATATTTTGAATATACATTTTTTTATCAATTATAATTATATATTTTTTAAATTTAATTTTATATTGGATAAAAAATAATAGTGTAAAAACAAAAATAAGTGTAAAATAAGGAAATCATGTATTAGTATTGACATTGCTTAAATTGTATTAAACATTTTTTAATCATAAAATGAAAAGATTCATTTAATTTAAAATTAAAAATTGTTTCCCCTTGTTATAACTGTCACACCCGGATTCTGAAATTCCAATGCAGCCGGTGTCTTTAACCTCTCAGAGGTCGCTAAAAACCTCTTCTTAGCTTTCATCACAATCATATAGTTAAATTTGTGGAAAATTTAAAACTTTTAAAACATAGTGAAGTATACATAGACTTCATATGATCATTACATAGAATAATATTCTAATGAGATCAAAGACTAAACAACCATCTACAATTTATGAAACAATTCAAATGGAAAGATCAATATATAACATAATAGTTTGCCAAAACGGCCTTAATACAAAGCTTCAAATAAAACAACTAGAAAGAAATTCTAGGGACAACATCCACTAGCTATGTGAAAGTGCTAGGCTAGAAAGATAAATGTAACATCCTCGAACTCAAGAGGACCTACCGATGTTTGGAGATTGCTAATCCAAACAACTTCGGTGACTCTTCAACCTTCTCACTGACCTGCACCTATAAAGATAATAATAGTATAGGGTAAGTACACACTTGTACTAAGTATGAGTATATGCACACATACACATAAGGAGTATGCGTGATCAAGGAAAGCTCTTCCTATAACAACATGTCATTTCTTGAAAGTGACATCACTAGACTTTCCTAATTCGTCATTTGTGAATTATGGTATGAATATGACATATTTTAATGCATTCAAAGCACACAACTCATTTTATATATGAACATAAGACCTTAGAATCACGAACATAATTTTAGAACAACTCAAGCGAAAATTTTGAAATTTGATACCCTAAACCCGAGAACTCCTCTTTCTGTACTAAGTTTATTTTTCAGTCTTTTTTCTTCTTGTTGTTGTGTATTTCAATGATCTCCTTAAGCCTATGTTTTACTTACAAGTGCAATTTTGTAGTCCCATACCTACAATGAATCAAGTAAGTAATCCGAAGGTCCAAGGAAATGATTTAACTACAAATTGGGCATGAAATCTTATTAAGCCAATCTTCATTGGTTATGCCTATTATGTGTCTCTTTACATAATATAAGAAATGATTATAAGCCAATATTGTTTGGCTATGATCATTTTCATAATAAAAGAAGTCATTATAAGATAATCTTATTTGGCTTTGATCATTTTCATAATAAAAGAAGTCATTATTGGCTATGCCCATTATTTGCTGAAAACTTCATTCTTATCAAATACTAACGATTGCTATTCTTAAGCTCTTACTTTCTTAGCTCACTTTGAACATACATCTCTTCTTATTTTTTTCTTGCTTTCTTAAGGACATCTTTAGAATTAAGATCATGCGAGCTAACATGAAAATTCAGTGTCTGCCCCACATCGAAAAGGGGTGATTCACCGATCAAAGTGAATCTAGATCATGTGAGCTAACATGAAATTTAGTGTCTGCCCCATACCGAAAAGGGGTGGTTCACCGGCTAAAGTGAAACCAAGTTTAGTGTTCTCCCCACACCGAAAAGAGGTGGTTCACGGTTAAAGTGAACCGAATATTTTCTTTGAGAATTTAACCGACATAGATCATGTGAGCTAATCATGAAATTTTAGTGTCAGTCCCACAGTGAAAAGGGGTGGTCTCACCGGCCAAAGTGAAACCGCATCATACCTAGCTCGCTTAGGTGGAATCCACTGGCTAGTTCCTATGTTGGCAACATAGTTCGAATATTAGGAGATATACGGAGACTACTTATCCACCTTGGTGGTAGCCTCATCTCATGAGGCTTACATGTGATGGCACAAGCTCATTGCTAGTCTATCGGTGCTTTGCTCAACTTCTTTTTCTTTACATCTTTTAGAGTTTACTCAAACATTATGGAAGCTTGCTTCTAGTTATGAGGTTTACTTAACTCTTTGGATAACCAGTCATCCCTTTCTTTACTTGATGAAATGTGAATTTAACCTTACATTATCATCTTGGTATTAATGAGACTTGTCTCACGATTATTAATACCATCTTATGTGAGTATCTTTAACTTAGTTGTATTAGGTGTAAGTGAGACTTGTCTCACTTCCTTTAACACCCCATTCTGGTCACTTTCATAAGTCAAAGACTATTAATTATGTTATTACTCACCTTAACTCGTTTCATGTCTTTTGGTAGCTTTGTACCATTCTTTATAAACGTTAAGAACTTTGTTCAATATAGTTACTACGTTCATAGTTCATTTGGAAAGGGTATGTTTGGACTTGTCCCAATGATTTGCATACCCTTGGTTATGAATTCAAAGTTACATTGGTCATGCTTAATTTGGTTTACAATATTCATTAGCCAATCTTTCCATCATACTTTGAAAGCAATATTGTAAGCAAATTTCATTCAACTTTTTGGGCAAAACATTGTTAGCCAATTTATTGGCATGAACCAACTTTACTAAAACTATTTTCATTATGTTATCACTAACCAAATCAATTAGTTTCATGAATGTAATATAGTGATTCCTCAAAATGAACAAGTCAAAACTTTAACATTTTAGCAGTAACTAAACTTCATAGCCAATTCATAGTAACTTCATATTCTCGAAATACAAGTAAACAATATATCATTCCTTACATGTAACTAACACTCAAATCATTCGAATCCAATCTATAGGACTCATTAGTCATTAACAAATCAAGAAACTTACACATAAAAATCAGTTAGCACCACATACCAACAACATGTTCAAGATT